GGGCCTCCTCCGCGCGTTGTTATTGTCCACTCTCTGTGCCGGGTATGTGGGCGACGGGGGCAGGGTTAGCTAGCGCTGTTCCAACTTTCCTTTCCTCGTTTCCCCCGCCCCAAAATCCACTTGTCTTTGCTTTTTGATCATTCAGCTTTCAAAGCGATGCAGCCCCCAAATGTAGAGTCTCCATTATTGAAGCTGTGTTTGTATTAATTTGGAAACACGTCTCTGTGTACGTGCCTGGATCTCATCGTTTACTTCGCTGGATGAAGACAGTGGGATTAGAAACGCAGAGAGGGCTAAATTGGGAAACACTAGTCTGGAGAAACATAGGCATGGTTTTAGTCTGAATTTCTAAGAGAAAGAAGGATCCTTCATCACCATCATCATCATCATCATCATCACCATCATCATCACAATTATTAAATGCGGATTGGGCCAAGAACAGATTGATTCCAGCCTACTTCCTTATATAAAGCAGGTGGCAGCATCGTTTTGATTCTGCTTATTTATTCGCCTTACATCATCTTGTCTGCTTTGTAATTGTGGTAGTGTCGCTTTTTTAAAAAACCAGTGCACATTGTCGGGGTGATCTGAGTGCAGCTGCCAGTGTCCCAGGTGCTCTGCAGCTTTGGGGAAGGGACAGAGTCAGAGGTGGGGAAGGAGAGCTTTCCAGGCCACAGGAAGGGGTGCGGGTAGGAGGCAAGCCACAGAGCTCCTCTTAGCCATTTCCGTTCTGTCCTTCTCCCCTCCCGCTTGTCCCCTGGCCTTTTCTCTGTTTCTTTCGAATGCAGGGGTTCCAGGAAGGGAACCAGCAACCTCTGCAGCCTGAGAAGGTGGGCTGGGTCCGAAAATTCTGTGGGAAAGGCATTTTTCGGGAGATTTGGAAGAATCGTTTTGTGGTCCTGAAGGGTGACCAACTGTATATCTCGGAGAAGGAGGTTGGTAAGAGGTTGCTTACGTCCTGCTTCCTTAGGCCAGCCTTTCCTTTGCTTGCTTAAGTCCCCTTTCTATAGTTCAATTTTTGCTGGGGGGGCTGGGAAGAGGCTGGGTATCTGAAGCACGCGGTTCTCTCTCACAGAGACTGCTCATGCAGGAGCTGGAGGGTGAAAGAGGAAGTTGATGCGGAAGAGGGAGACAAGAAGCCATCAGCTGGGCTTCATTTTCCTACGGGGGGGGGCTGCCTTTTTGCTTCCCCCAAAGCTCGATCACGAACTCGTTGGCAAAATGCTCCTTTGACACTGATCTGGTCCCAACCTGGCCGTGAGCTCAGTCCCTTCTTAGGAGCCAGAGAGACTCTGACCAATCCCCCAGTAAGCAAAGGTCTAGGGCCCCGTGGCCCAGGCTAGAGGTTGCAAGGAGGCAGTGGTGAGGTGGAGGAGCAGGGTGGGGATGGATGGCAGTCCTGGCAACTGGAAGGAACTTTGTGGCATCCTCTCAACCCTGGGAGTGCCACAGACAGGAAGGAGGGCTTGGACTGAGCTCCCCGGGAGGCCAGCTGCTTCCTCCGTTGAGTCCTGACTTTGCTTCCTGTCCGAACTGGCTGGCTTGCAGTGAGCACGCAGGAGGCAACCTCTACTCTGGCGCCTGGATGCTTTGCAGGGTTTGGGAGACTGTTTGGGGGCGGGGGGTTGTTCTGGGTGCCAGCTCTGGGGCCCAGTTGGCCGTGCTGCTGGAAACAGGGTCGGGATCCAGGTATCTGCTAGAGTTTCTGCTTGCAGAAACAGCCGAGCGTTCCCAAGTTGCAGACCCAGGTCATTTTTGGCCAAGAATCACAGATCCCTCACAAGCTCACTTGAAATGAACTTGCCGAGAGTAAAAGCGGCCCATGGTCTAGCAAGGCTGCTAGCCTGCCTTATGTGCCAGAAGAACCTGGCCTCTCTTCAGAACCACCTGATCCTCGAAAGATTGTGAGGGTTTCCATGGCAGTTGACCAGGAGGGACCAAAAGGTTTCTTGTCTTTGCATCTCCCTTTCCGGTGCTTTTGGGAAGCCTGGGGTAAATTTTGCATATTTGTTTTTAGAGTTTCTTTGTTCAGTGGCTTTGGGATGAAGTACATGTTACATGCAAATGAGGGTGTTTGTTTTTCCACTGGCTCGTACTAAAATGTGTGTCCCTGAGAGGCAGTTAACTGGGGGCATGAACGTCTGTTGCTTAAAAACTCATTCTCTGATGTTGGATCTGTGTTGCTATTTGTACTTTGCAGTAGTCACTTTCTAATGCAAACTTTTGGTGCTCAAACATTGCTTGGAGGTTTCATGTTGATCCTAATTCTGGATGAGGAGAAAGCAGAGGTTGCTTCTTTGTGGTGAGAAAGAAATGCGATTTGTGACTTATTTCTTAAAAAAAAAAGTGCTCGGTTTTCATCATTCTCTTCAGACCTGTCCCTCCTGACCTCAGATTCGCCCAGGTGCAGAAATTAGTCCCTTTTTTCTCAGTTCTCATTTATTGCATACAGGGTGGTTTACGCACTTAAGGAATAACACAAGGGTGGAAAGGACAGGCCTCTGCCCCCCGCCCCCCGCCCCCAAGCTTACAGTTTAAACGTAGGCACGCTGGGCTGGGCAGATAATGGAGGCAGAAGAGAGATTTCGCGGCCTCATGGATGGCTAGGAGCAAATATTATTAACTTATACAATTTGTTACCTGTGGTTTGGCATACTCACCATAGCCAGAAATCCAGCCGAGTCATGCCTAAGCTCCATTTTGGCTGGGGCTGAGGCCAAAGGAATTACTCCTTAGATTTCACAAAAGAGACAATCCTGCATTTAATTACCCTGAAACTGGACAAGTGCTTGGCTGGTAGGGAAAGGCAGCATCAGCCATGCAGGGAGGCGATGAGCCAGGATGGCTCCAGTTGCAGGACATCTGATAGCGAGGCTGGTAGCTGGAAAGTGGCTCAGCGGGTGGAAGCAGGAAGGAGGCTAGGCTCAGAGAAGGACGGTCCTTCTGGCCGAGAGCTCCCCGCGCGTCCCGAAATGGATCTGATTCTGGCCAGGCCCTGAAGCCCTCCCTGGAGTGGCACCCTCTGGTCCTTTCACCAGTGCCCTGTTTGTGGCTGTTGGAGGGCGTTTTATACAGCACATCTGGAGGCAGAGCAAGAGTGAAGTCCCAGTGGAAATTTTTATTATTTGCTTTTACTCTTAGAAAAAATGCTCATTATTTTTAATGTTGATACTAATTAAAGTTCTCAGAAGAAGCGTTCTCTCCTACATTCTTGCCCAGGAGGAAGCAAGGATGGTGCTCTCTGTGACACAGCCCCGCACAATTTAAAACGGTTTTCTTCGAACTTTTCGTTAATGCAAACTTGATACCAGCTTGAATCCCATTAAACCTTGCTAGACAGGCAGCTCAGATTTCTTTTAATCAGGTGGCACTTTCTTGTCTACACATCATTCCTAGATTAATTACTATGTGTGTTCCAAGAAATTATGTTTCATTTCCCCCAGTTGCAAATCTGCAGGATTTGTTGCTAGCAAGGTAGTGTCCATTCCCTTATCCTAGCCAAGAAAAACTTACTTTCTTTGGCTTGTGGTGTTCTGTGGATATAGGAAGCTGACTTAAGGCACTAAATGGGACCTTTCTTCTTTCCGGCCTTGTCTGCAAAATGGCCCCAACTCTCCCCATTGTCAAATGGAAATATTTTTGACCCTACTTGGACCTGGGAGTCTCTGCATGCCAGTCAGGGAGCTCCCGCCCTTCTGAAAGCTCATGGCCCCTTTCAGAACTTAAGCCGGAGTTGCACCCGCAGAATTTGTGATTGATTGATTAGATTTATTACAATCCCAATATTCTTGGCAGTTTAAAGTAAGTAAACATTAAAAAAACATCCTTGGTGAAAAATTTAAAATTGGACGGTTGTAGAACCCTAATGCCCAAAGAGCTTGGTACAGCCACCCACCCTAGCCACCCGTCACGCATCACCAGAGGCCCGCTGGAAGTGCCTGTTTTCGATTCTCCCGGAGGGCCAAAACTCTCATCTCAGTTCAAGTAGGCATCCCCAGAAAACAGTGCCTCCGAACCGCCATAGCCTTGCAGAAATAGAGGGCTCCCAGACGTTTTCCCAGCTGGGAGCGAGCTGGGCCAAAAGGAGAATGACAGAAGTAGCGTCTTGGGGTGCCCGGAAGCTGGACGCCTCTGGACCAGCCATTGGAAGTGGCAGGGGCTCATTCGGCAAAGGCCTGCGCAAGCGGTGGGGCCAAGCTGGGCAGAGGTTTAAGGGGACTCTTGGCAGCTCCCTGGATCTTGCTGCCAGTGCTGGCTGCTCCGGCAGCTGCTCCTCCTTGCTCCGAGATCCCCTTTGGCCGAGTCTTGCTTCCTTTTCACACCGAAAACCACTTTGCCTTGAAACAGCTGTTTGTCCCTCCAAAGAAAGCTTAGTTGCTGGTTTAATCTCTTCAAAGAGTTCTGCTTCCCTTTTCCCCAAGCCCCCAACCCAGAACTGGGTCACTGTGTGCCACATTCACTCTTACCTTATTCTTTACTCACTGTAGCTGCACATGTGGCATTTGCTGTATGCAAACCCTGTCCATGCTGCTGTGTGCCTTTCTAAAGGGCCTCAGGCTGAAGAAAGAATTAAAAGCAATCTCAGCATTACTTGCCCTGACCTGAATACTGTGCTAAAAAAAGATGGGTCTTCGGCATCTGTGAGTCATACAAATGAAGTAACTTTACATTCTGATGCTAATTTTGTACTGCTGCAGGGGCTGCATGATGAGCACCAGAATTCTTAGTCTCCTTCCTGTTGGCCTTTGAGATATCACCAGGCAGTGCTTAAATATCTTCAAAGCTTGAGGACTAGATCCTGCCTTAAAAGAATTACGATTCTGTTGGATCAGACCTGAGTTCTGTTTGGGCTAGCAGTTTGCCTCCCACAGTGGCCAACTGGATGCCTCGGGTACCTCCGTAAGCAAAGGTTGGCTCCTCCCCTATTTTGCTCCTTCAGTGTCGTATTAGTTGACAGGCTGCAATTTCTGTTATTTCACTAGCAGAACCAATAAATGTTGATAGTCTTCCTCCTCAGCAGATTTACCTGATGTCACGTCTTTGGGTGGCAAATTTAACTCTCTTTGCAGGAGGGTGCATTTGACCCCCACTGCCCCACTTGAAGTGTTTTGTCTGGGCAGAGCCCAATACCTGTCACCTCCCTCCCACAGCTCCAAAGCCCAGCTCTTTGCACACTCTTTGCGTGTGCAAATGCCACTTTTGCCCTAAATTCTCTGCTGCCCCAGTTCACCTCTTGGAATGAGTTCCAGGGCCAGAGGGGGGTGGTCTGCGTGTGGGAGGGAGACAGAGAAATAGCCTTCGTTCCAGCCAGGGGCTCTTCCGGTCCCAGGACACAGGGGCCTAAGGATCGGCAGATTTGGCATGCTTTTGCTTGCTTGGATGCCAGATCATTGTAAGTGCTGGATAGTTTCCGCTTTTTAAAAAGTGTTAAATTCTTTCATTGCTCCACTAGCACTTCCATCGCAGATGTCGAGAGCACAATAATGAAGTGAGAAAATTCTGAGAGCCCAAATGCTATCTCGATGAGTCTTGAGAATCTGACATTGGAGAGCAAACGATATGGAATCTGTTGACTCTTCCAGTTCTTTAAACCTGCCCTCCCACTGCCCTGAATAACCCTAACCAACGTTGTAACCCAAGGCTTACATAACTATGCTTATGACCCTGTGTCGCTGGCTGTGGCCATTGCTGGAAATTCTTCTTCCATGGGATGTCACTGATTTGAACTTCCCCTTAATCTGGGTCCTCGCAGGAGAACGTATTCTTCATCTCTCTCCTCTCTCTCTGCAAACTGTATGCAAGACTGGCTTTATTTCAGTCAGTTCTGCGTGTCAACTGATGAGGATGGCAGTTGACTGCACCGTTTTCTCTTCCTGGCTGTTCTCTGCAGTGGAGAACAGGGGCTTTTGCGGCCTGGAGAAACAGGCGTCCCATTGAGCCTTGTCTGGCCTTCTTTGTTCCCCCATGCCAGTGAAACCGCTCGGGGAAGGGTTTAGGACTGAAGCATCCAAGCGGAGAGAGCCATTTCAAGGAGTACCGAAAGTGGAGCTCTTCGTGTGTGCATGCTGATTTTGCCTGTTGTGTTGAACTGAATTTGCAAGTTTCTGAAAAGCTGCAAAAACCTGCAGAAGCTCTTTGAGAGACAACCAGTCAGAAGACCCAGGGCCATGCCAGTCAACCTCAAGGGAACATCTGTGTTGCGATAAAGAGAGCTAAGCCTAATCTTTGATCCAGATGGCTTAAGTTGGTACATAAATGTGCAAATACTCAAATTTCACAGGCACCTCCATCAGATAGAATAAAAATCTGCACGAATGGGGATACAGGAGTTCTGTGTGTTTTTGCTTTCTGCCAGCAAAACTTTAAAAGCTTTCACGCCCTGATTCTTACCAATGGCTGTTAGCTTTTCTTGTGAAGAATGCTTAATAATCTTTTGGGTAAAATCTTGCATTACACCCAGATAGTTCTTTTGTATCCCACAGCCAGTGAATGGGCCCATTTTGGAAAGGCATCCCAAAGCCAAGCAAGAAAGCCTTACTTGGTTCAAGCTCAACAGGCCGTTTTGTGGTGGGATTTATTTCCTTTTAACTTACCTCCTGACGAAGACGAAAAAGCGTAGCCAGAACAAAGGCTGCGGCTTGTTCCGTGTGACACAAACCCAGCCCGTTGAGCTGTTCCACTGTGCTGTCTTGTGTGCGAGAGATCTGGCCCAGTTAAAAATAGACTATGCTGCGCCCCCGCCCCCCGTCCAAACTGCACAGGGAAATAATACCGTGGCACCTGCTAAACGTCGGGCCTCACCAGTCTCCTCCTCCAGGAATCCATAGCTGCAGTTAGTTGGCTTAGCCGTACCTTCCTGGGAAAGCTTTGTCTTGAAGGGCAGCGTAAAAACTTTCTAAAACAAATCATAAGTAATGGTTCAGGGAGGTGGCCCTAATACGAGGTGCCCGTAAGATAGGCAAGCAAGACAAAGCGGGCCTGCTCCAGGTGGATCGAAGCCAGTTAGAAATTTGGGAAGCTGTAGCTCAACACATCTGGAGGGCGCCAGGCGCAGAAGGGAGCATGGAATCCGGCTGCAGCCGTTGGGGGTAAGCCTCAGTGAGCCCCTGTCCTACCCTCCCTGTTTGGCATCTGCCAAAGGATAAACCTTCTGTTCTAATCAGGAGGCTCGGCGGGGTGTTGGAAAGGCTCGGCACGGAGGGGGGGTTATTTCACTCCCCAAAGGGCTCTACAGACCCTCTTTTAATGGAAGGCATTCTGGTGGGATGAGGGGTTTGCTAGAGCCGGGTTGTAGCTGAAGGCGGGCGGGCTTTTTTCCCATTTCCAGTAGAACTGGCTGAAAAGTAGTCCCCCCGGGCTACTGTCTTAGTAAACATTGCTATAAATAATAATTATGATCATTTTGTACCCCTTTAATATAATGCTGCCCCTGGTTTTTCTACCCCTACGGATCACTTAAAAACTGCTCTTGGCAGACCGTTAAACTGGGGTTGGGCACAGGATAGAGAGCACGTACGTACGTGGGGGTGCCCACGGTAGACAAATGACGAGAATGGTAGTGAATTTGGCGCTCGCTCTCTGTCAGTCTCCAAAAGTCAGCAGGAGCAGGCTTGCCCGGCAGGGGAGGAACTGCTGTGGCCACAGTTCAGTGCTTTTCTGGGGACTGTAGCCCTGGCACATCCGGAGAGGACCAGGCTGAGGAAAGCAGATTAGAGGCACAGATAGATCCTAGAACAGATCTCAGTGGAAGAAGCAAAAACTCAGCGCTTCAGTGGCAGGACCACGAGTGGGTGACGGGGCCTCTGCAGCTTTCATGCAGCAACATTTCTGTGCATTGGAGGGCCTGTCAAAATGCAGTGAAAGTGGGTCGTGTTCATGCCTGCATTAAGAACCACAATTCCCAAAATATTTTTGATATGGTGAAGGAGTGAAGGAGTTTTTAATCTAGGTGTCATTGGCAGCACATCAAGGTAGTGTAGGTCTCACCTGGAAAACCTGTTATCTGTCTGTCCACAGCTCAAAGATGAGAAAAACATCCAGGAAGTGTTTGATCTGAATGATTATGAGAAGTGTGAGGAGCTCAGAAAGTCCAAAAGCAGAAGCAAAAAAAACTATAGCAAGTTCTCGCTCGCCCATTCCAAGGAGCCTGGCAACACAGTAAGCGTCCTTCCTTCCTTCCTTCCTTCCTTCCTTCCTTCCTTCCTTCCTTCCTTCCTTCCTTCCTTCCTTCCTTCCTTCCTGCTGAGCATTCAAGCTGCTGTTTGGCATACCAAGAGTTCCTGGTTCCAGTCCTGGGAAGGATACTGTCTTCTGTCCAAACCATCGGGGGTAGGTAGGTGGCCAGGCTGCAAAGCGTCCCTCTCCTCCCAAGACCCGGGGGATCCTGCAGAGCAGAGCAGAAAAGCTGTTGGGTTGACCAGTGGCACAGCAGCAGCTTCTCAAGGGCACGATGCACGTCCTCTCTGACTTGAGAGCTGAACCGCCACCGGTCTGTCTTCGTCTTTCCCTTCCACAACTGTGTCTGCTGTTCAGACTGAGAGACAGCTAGAGAAACAGAGCGGCTCGTCATGTTGCAGCCTGACTGCTCCTTCCACTTCTTGGGCCTTCCGTAGGAGTTCATGGTAGTATTTCCTATAATTAGAAAGGGGTCGGTCCAATGTCCTGCCCGTCCACAGCAGCTCCACGTCTAGGCTTGTGAAGCAATATAGCCCAAGGGCTGTGGGTCTCTGCCCACCCTGTAACCGTCAGATGGTTTGCTCCCCTGGATCTCACTTAGCTCCTGTACCACCTAACAGTTGGTCTAGCCAGTCCCAGCTTCCTCTCCAGGAAAGCAGCACTCCCTGGGTTCAAGAGTCTGGGGCCTGAGCGTTTCAGTACTTCCCATCTGCTGGTGTTTGGGGCATTGAGTTCCTTTTCGCTGGACCTTACAGGCCGCCATGTCTCTGTTTAGAGCAGCCTTTCCAGTCTGGTGCCCCAGATTTTATTTTATTTTATTCAATTATGTATTTATATGGCCGCCCATCATGCAAAATATGAGAGACTCCTTGGACCTGCTTGGGCTCCCATTGCCCATGGGCTCTGTAGTCCCAACACATTGGTGGAAGGCTGGGATAAGCTATTACAAGCGTGTTTCAAAACAGCAATTGAGAGTAAGCCGTTGTTTCCTCCTCTGCCTAAGAGTTGCTGCACATTATCTTTGTCTTGAGTTTATTAAGGACAGTGCCAAGCGGGGTGGGTAAGCCCTCCTTTGGCTGCTGCTGATGCCTCCGTCTCTCTCAGGCACCAAATCTCGTCTTCCTGGCCGTGAGCCCCGAAGAAAAGGAATCTTGGATCAACGTGCTCAACTCTGCAATAATCCGGGCCAAAAACCGCATCTTGGATGAGGTGAGCGGTCTGGCCCTTGGCTCGGCCTGTCCCGATCCACAGGCTGAGTTGACCTTCCCAAAGTCACGGTCCGGAGCAGGGTAGGAGTTCAAAGCCGTGCAAGAGAGAGCGCCTTTCAGTTTGCTTGCAGTCGTGGGAGTTCGTTGTAGCTCATCCAGAGTTGTTGTTCTTCAGCCCGCAGCACCATTCCTCTGAGATTCCTGGCTGTGCAAAGGCCCTGCTTGCTTTGGAGTCTCTTTCCTTGAAAGGAGGCCTGGGATGGGGGTCTCCGTTCTCAAATGCCCAGGCTAGAGGCGGCAGGCGGCCTGAGTTTGCCTCCTTGTCGTGGTACAGCTTACGTGACTGGGAACGTCAGTAACTTTTTATTTCATTCTGGAGCTCACTCTTCTATAGAAAACCCAGAGAGTGGCATATTGAGAGTTCCATTTCTTTCAATCCTGGCAATAATCTGGTTGCCAGGCTCGCAGACAGACAAGGGAGAACAGAGGCGCAGGGACGCCCTTGCAGTGATTTATTACTAGGGAGAGTGTGCCAGTGCTGTACAAGGCCCTCTACAGGTCTGTGAGTGGTCGAATGGCTTGGTGCCTAAAGTAAAATTGGGTGCAAAGAAAACGGGGGGCGGGGGGAGCCGCAGAGAGCAATGCAGTGGATTTTTTTTTTATTTTGAGAAGGCCATCAGGGCCATCTTTTGGTCTGCAGGCGAGGGGCAGAGGAATTGAAAGGGATTTTCCATTAAAATGGGGAAAAATCTGTAAGGTTAGAGAAGTCATTTTAGGGGCTGATCAAAGCAGAGGGGGAAGCGAAGCTAGGCCAGGCTCCTTCCTGACTGAAGGACAAGTTGTTTCTCCTGTGGTTCAAATGGCAAGAGATGTGCATGGAAGATAACAAAACCAGACCAGTTGCTGGCTGAGGAACATATCCCCTAACCCTCACCCTAAATAAACAGCAGGGGGGAAGAGAAGGATGCCAGGGCAGGGTAGCAGTAGCAGTCCCCAAGGCGTCTTATAAGAGGGAGCTGAAAGGGGATGATAAAATAGCTATGGGAGAATATTGTTTGGAGGTGCAAATCCTGCTTTTATTTAGGGATATTTTTAACTTCTCACCAAAAAACGATTCTTCCCCAACATGGGAAATTTGCAAAACACCAAATGAAATGCTCTATCTTTGGAGAGTCTCCATCTTGCAAAACTGGAGCCTCTACTTTTTCCTTTTGCTCCCTTCCCAAAGAAATTTCAGCTAATTGTAATGAATATGCCAGAGTGCTCTGGTATGAGCTACTGGATGAACTGTGTGCAAGGGATGGATGGATGGATGGATGGATGGATGGATGGATGGATGGATGGGGGGATCATTTCTCCTGGGAGTTAAGTGATTCACCATAATTTATCAAGCAAACTCCAGTTAGCCACAGTATGCCTCATACGGAGATTGCTGATGGGCATTTCTGTTGCTTTTCAGGTGACCGTGGAAGAGGAAAGCTTTCTCGCTCATCCAACCCGCAACAGAGCAAAGATACAGCACTCCAGGCGGCCTCCGACAAGAGGTCACTTGATGGCTGTGGTAAGTGCAGTGGGAAGGAACTAGAATCCCAACTTCCGCTGAGCAAGCAGACCCCAGGCTGCTTATTCTTAACTCTATTTGCAGTTTACTCTTCTTCCAAGAATTGCAGAGTGGTTCAGACAGGGGCTGGGGGCGTTGTGCATTTTGTCTTCATGACAATCTTTGAGTCACCAACCGTCAGACCATCAGTTTCATTGGAAGCCTTGTGTCGCTTCTGCCCAGTCAACTTCCACCATTCCATCCCCTAAGCTGTGTTGATTCTGGATGACCAACAGCCATACGTTGCTGGAGCTATACAGACTGTGACTTCAGTGGCATCAGGTTATGCAAACTAAGACTTAGTCCTGTTACCAAGATACCTTTTCCTTGATTCTTTCAATCCTTCTTGGAGGCTTGGTTTTTTCCCCATTTTCCCCACTTTTCTCCTGCCTTTGCAGGCATCTACCTCAACGTCTGATGGGATGCTGACACTGGACTTGATTCAGGAGGAGGATGCCTCCCCAGAAGACCATGACGCCTGTGAGAAGAGTTTCCGAGTGGACTTGGACAAACCAGTTGCCCATTTCACCCCTGGCCGAAGGCGCTCAGATTCAGAGAACGTCAAGAACCTGGACAAGAGCAAGACAAACAGCCTCCCGCGGAGGAAGGATGTGTCTGGGGAGAAGTTCTCACCTCACAGTGAGGCCTTTGACAAAGGGACCATGTATACTCCTCAGGTCCCCAAGAAGCTCTCTCACTTGGAGAAGAACAAATGTGCCTCTATGGAAGAAATCCTCTCCTGCTGGGACTCTTCCTCGGCTCGCCAGATGTTGGTGAGGACCGGCCTAAAGGACCGAAGGGCTTCCCCTGAGCCTGAGCAGCTGGTCAGGATACAGGAGCTGGTGGCGCTGCAGCTGGAGAAGACACAGGAGCTGCTGACGGAGGTGAGGGGCTACGGGGAAGAGCCGCGAAAGGCACAGGAGCTTGGCTCTGCGTCGGCGGCGGCCCCCGCCTGTCCCTCGTCCTCTCCCAAGCTGGACTCAGAGGCCACCTTGCAGGAGATACAGAGGCTGCTGGGCGAGGCCTCCTCCAACTGGAGCCAAGCCCAGAAAGTGCTGCAGGAGGTCAGAGAACTGAGAAGCCTCTATCAACACCTGGAACTGCAGCTCTCAGGACCTAAATCCAAACAGAGCGTGCTGCCTCAGTACAGGAGGAGTATGATGTGAAGGCAAGCGGTGGGGCAATCTATAGGGAAGACAGGGCACAGGGCAGCTAGGAAGAGGGTGTAGGAGTTGAGGAGTATATGCTTTGTTGGAATCTATAGCATTTGATGCTTACCAGGTTCCTGCTGTTACTCGATCCATACTCCTCACAAACTCAGTTTTTTCTTCCCTCCCCCCCACCTTTAAATGTCACTCATTCCTCTCTTCCAGCTTCAAGGAAGCCCATTTCATTACATTCTTTGTGTCTATATCCTTTCTCCCCCAAAGTGCAGCAAATTACAGGTAACATTTTGCAACGTATTTTTTCAAAAGTGGCATGGTGCTGTTTCTGGCCATTTGGGCCCCATGATTTTCAGAGAGCCCCTCTCCAAGAACAACCCCTGGTTTCTAAATAGTAATCAGCGAAGTCCTCCAGTCCAAATGCCACGTGAGTGTTCCACGCTCCCAAATACCAGGAGACACAGGTTGCGCCTCAGGCTCCGGGGGGTACGTTGCCTCCCTCCTGTGTCCCCTTGGGTCCTCTGTGGCTGCTCTGCCACTCAGAGGGCCTATTTCCCTGCTTGGGTCCAAGCCCAGATTCTGTCATAAAGGCAACATGGCCACCTTAAACTATGCAGAAAACTATGTTCATGTCCATGATGCAGTCACGGGAGCAGGAGCCCACGCTACCAGAAACCAAGCGACCCGGTTTTGCTTAAGCTCAAGACGGGTTCTTGGCTGGAACTGGGGAAGCAGTTTCTGAAGAGGCTGCCCTTGATTCAAGGCAGTTCTTGTCCACAGGCTTAAGTACCTCATAAAATTTCCCTGAAGTTCTTGGTAGGTATTCCATGTCATTATAGTGTCATTTTGATACATCTCCCGTTGCTTTCCTCAGCCCTTCTTCTTACCATCAGACGTAGCTATGAGTAGCAATGTACACAATGTGCTCAGAAAGCAGAATTGTGGGTCATGGAGTTCTGCTTGGAAAAGTACATGTCGGCAGAGCTTACGACGTTAGGTGTTCATTCGTCTTCAGGCACGCGTCTTATTTTTTCAGTGCGACGGGAGAATAGTAGTCTGAAGCATTTCAAGATCACACGTGCCAATCCACCTCTCCTTCAGGAGCAAATCCTTGATTTCTTTGACTGGCCCCAAGCATTTTGCTGCCTAAGGTAGAGCACGGATGGCATCTTGTCCCCTTGGAGTTGAATCTCGTTTCAGTTTTGGTGACAGGAGAGCGTCTTCTGTGGCGTCCGAAGAGATGGCTCTGATGGTTCTGTATCCTCCATCAACCACTGCCTCACCGCATCTAATAGCAGGGCTGGTCCTCTTTTGTTTCCTTTTTCCATCTCGGATACTGAAACACAGTGGATATCGTGTTGGACAGGAGGAACTCAACAGTAAGTGTCCGTTGAGTGTGGCCATTGTTTTCTGTGTACTGGCAACGCTGTTCACCTGCTCAGAATTTACTGGTGGTTGGAAGGGCTCTCAGGTTCAAGTCAGAGCCATCTGTTCACTTGTGCCTCTTGCTCTTCCTGTGTTCAGAGAAACCGCAGAAAGGTGGGTTAAGGGTTGTAGGATTGCTACAGGCAGCAGGATCTCACAGTGGGAAGTGCTTCCCCATTACAGATTGTGCCATGCTCCCCTTGCTGTGGTCATTGCTCACTGCTTAAGAAGGTAGAATGGGGAAAGCGATCGCCCCGGGTCTCTCAGATGGCCTTGGTCCTCAATATTGCTGGCTCAGCTGAGAGTTGGGAAGTGAACACTGGACACAGATTGTATCTCAGGTACCTTCATATCCTTGCTGATGATCCCCACTCTGCACTTTGCTAAGCAGAACAACCTGGGTTTCCCACTGTTGCAACTGGGAACAGGAATTTGTGTTTCCGTGGGTGGTGCTTTCTGCTCCGGCTTAGAGGGAGGAATGCCCACACGAGTCTTCCAGAATCATCCCTCCAGAAAGGGAATTGGAAATTGCTGCTTTTTTACCTCTGCCCCACAGTGAGATTTTGCAATCAGCCTGAGGTGCCCTCGTTTCCCTTTTCTTAAGAGTTTGAGAAATTAATTTGCCCTTATCTTCTTTTTCCAAACTTATGACTACTTATGACCTTTTGGGGAGGAACTTGCCTGTGTTTGTTTTACATCCCCTTGAGTTGTCTTAGCGAGTGGCCGTGTCCAGAAGTCAGCCGCGCTCCAGCGTCTTCCTCCCTCTGCCCCGGTTCTCCCACAGGCTTGGCTAATCTGTTGGATGAGTCTGGAGCGGATAACACTGTATTGCAGATTAAGCAAGGGAAAGCTTGCTGTCAATCCCACATGTGGGATTACAGGCGAAAACCCAATTATGGGGTGAGAATGGCGTGTGTCTGGGTAAACTTGCCAGTCGGAGAAGTGCTGGTGTTTCTTGGATTACTTGCTAATTAAATAAACTGGGAGATTGCGGATTGAGGTGGCTGCATCCTGGCTGGTAGCTGCAGTGCTGTGGAGGGAGCGTTGGCGCTTTACGGGGCACCGCCCAAGTGTGAAGAGATGACATGGATCTCCAAAGGCCCGTCAAGACTAGAGCCAAAGTTGGTCTTCCTGCTTCCTATTACATTTCATGCCTGCCTGGCCAAAAGAGTGGCTCACCCGATACTGATGAATCAGCTTGGGAAGGGCCAACTTTGGGACTGGGAGCTGATGGGAAAGAGATGGGAAGCCGCCTCCCCGGATGGCTCGTGATCCCCCCACCCCTTCGGGAAGGCCCAGCTCTGGGTTGCTTCGCAGAGGGGCGGCTCCGAGAACAGGGCGCAAGCCTCTGCCCCTTGCCCGCCGGAGCCTCACCTTCCCCTCTGTGTCTGAACAGGGACACCGCTACCCCCTCCCCAGACCTCTTCAGGAGAGCAAGAGTCCAACGAGGTCCTTTTCTGGGGTCGGGACGAGGAAATCAGTAGCTAGGTTTGCAGATGATGCTAAGCTGGGGCTTGTTTTGACAACAATTTGTTGAATACATTACAGGGGCTGGTTTCACGCAAACCGTGGCTGACACATCCACGGGCATCCTAAGGACTATTTCGAGGCCCAAAGAAGTCAAGTAGACAACCCTGCAGCTGAAATCAGAGGTTTCTCTACTAGGCGACCAAACTCAAGCTCTCTTGCAGTGGAGGGTGGGCGGTTCTTGGTCACTTAGTGGTTTGCTGGGGCTTTGTTACAGTTTTTTAAATTTCACTTCCTATAGCTTGAGATTTCCTGCCGCTCTCCCTTCTGAGTACTAACTGGATGCAACCCGGTAAAACTTTTCAAAATCAGCCAAGGTCGGCCAAACCAAAGCAAACCGTCGGCAAGCTGTTACTGCTCGTGCGGCCAAGGATGGTGTCGCCGTCACGGACACTCAGCCAGATCCCGTAACCTGTAAAAGGAGGCATGCGAAGCCCGGATTAGCACGTGCCTCAATCAAATTAAAAAGGTACAAGAAACTTGTAGGCTGGTTAGCTAGGGCAATAGAAAAACGTGCGTGCAAATAAATAAATAAATAGCTATTTATTTATTTATTTATTTAAAGAGAAACAAGAAATTTATTTAAAGAG